ACTCTAAAGGGTTCAACAGCAGTACTTCTTTTAATTTGTGTACTTTAAAGTGTTTTATAACCGAAGGTTAACAGGTTTTAACAACTGAAGGAAACATTTGAATTTACTTTGTTAAAAAATGGTAATTTAAAAAGATGCTAATCCAGATGTGAAATAAAAACACCAACTTGTCGTTGACTTAATATAAAGAGAGCCTGTTAGAGTCAGCTGAGCTGTCCTGTCAGACTTACCCTGGTGAAAGTTCCAATAAAGTTATGGATATCAATGTTTGGTTCTTCTGCATACACGTACGACCTGATCTGAAGGAGGTCCTGTGAGTCAGAAAACACAAAGAATCCCTGTGACTCCATCAAGTTCTGTCACATTTAATCTTTTTACATCCAACTCTTCCAAACGGCCTTCATCCAGCAGGGTTGAAATGTTTGAACAGAAACTTCATATCAGCTCGTTTGTCTGATTGTGTGTTTTAAACAGCCAGCTTTAGTTAAAGTGTTAACACAACCTTTTATTRAAACACTTAAAATAAAACCAGGTGATCCTTCAGCCAACAGCTCAAAATAAAACATCTGAACCCAACTGAGTTTACAGTAATAAATATGAGATTCTACAAAAGGTGAGTTTTAAATGTGTTTGTACGTCAGCTCTTATTAACAGTCAAAAARAAAACATAAGTAGGTTCTCCTGCTTTGTGGCTGACTCTGTGTAGAAGTGTGGTAAATATGGAATTTTGGCAAAAATTACATATTTTTTTGGGCTAAATATACAGGTACACATCTAAAGGGGTTGACATGGATCTGTGCTCAAAAATACAGCCTAGGTGGAGTAGTGGAACACAGATCCACTGATCCTTCAACACAGAGCATCTTCAGAAGACAAGTTGATAAAATWAATTTAATAATCTGTGTTGTTYCATACAAAGTGTTGTTGAACCTAAAGCTCTGTGTTGAAGCGTTTCATACAGGTATTGTTGCACACCTACTTGTWAAATGTAACAACATCACAATAAAAACAGTCGGTCTTGATAATTCCTTAAATCAGATGAACTCTGGACGTCTAAAAAGACCAAGTGTGASGTGACTCTGAGCTTTTAGCAGGTCTTTAATGTTCAGAGCCTACAGCTGACTTGACTCTGTCCTAATGAAAGACTTGTGTCTGGGAACAGAGTGTGTAACCACTGCTGTTAAAGACACAACAATGGAAATACTCTGAGCGTCTCCTCGCAGCCTCTCCATCGACACGTCGTGACTCACAGCAGCAGTTGGCAGCCTCTGAGTGCAGGCCACAGGGAGGCGTAGTTTCCAGTCCGTCTCTCCGTCCAGCTGGTCTGTCCGCAGGAAACAGGAGCCTGACAACGACAAAACAGCTCTAATGATGCAAGAAGAACACACGTTGRCCTGTAGAGGGCAACACAGGCTGTTACAAACGTCAAACTGCTTCAGKACTGCAGGCTGTTCTGGGCTCTGTATCAGTACATGTTAATAACTCTGAACAAAGTCATGAAACTCAGTTTTGTCTGGGAGGACTTGTGTGTGTGTGTGTGTGGGGGGGGG